GTGGTAGGTGGTCTCTGACTGTCGAACGCGGAGGTACCACCCGGCGGTTCTTGTAGGCGGAGCCAGAATGTGTGCATGTTGCATGCACACGTGTTCCCTCGCCAGAGTCCGTGTGGCGTCCCCCCTTTCCCATGTATCCCACTATAGCCCCACGGTACCCAATGGGTGCTTAGGCCTTAGGCCTTCGTGTTAGTTGGAGTAAAAAAAAAACACCTCTAATCCATCCTAGCCGCCATGTCTCACTAGTCTTTGTACTAGAGAAATTTAATTACTGAAAATCGATGGGCATTTCGTTAATGTTTATGACAAAATCAAAGCTAATACTTTATGTTGCACGTTTATTCTTACCTAACTTGCTTAGCTATATTGACCTGAACAAACAATCCGACATTAATTGTACATGCGGTGAATGCCAACTCATAATCTATAATTAATTCGATAAATCCCAAAGTGCTGTCCTTGGAAAGCTATACCAGCAAGCCAAATTGCACTGTATCGTAATTAGCCCGCATATATTAATTATAATGCACAGCTCCATTAAGCTCCCTGGAAATGCAAAGTTGTAAAATTTGGCCGCTGCTCCTGTTTTATTCGACTTATTAGAAAGAAAGTTATAAAATCGATTTGAAACGGTAGATTATGAAGTTCAATTCATAATAAATAACGTAGCAATTGGAAGCGAGATAAAAGGCCTTTAGAATCTACCTGAAAGCTTCAATATCTAGACTCTCTTTCAAGACCTATAGTTGTAGTAATTTGGGAAGCATCATATCTTTTTGCCTTTTTTGTGATTTACACTTGGAGGTCAACTTAGTAAATTCAAACAGCAACCTTGATTTTTGAGGGAAGATTCGTAGTTGGGACAGACTCTGTCAATTTTTATATAAGGTCTGGTCAGTATATGTCAAGCTGTAACGTCTGCTATATTTTTTCTATTCTAAGTATATGAAGCTTCTATCCATTAAGTGTGATCTTACGCGAGGAGTGGTTTCTATGACGATGTGTTTAGTGTTTTGCATTTTTAGCTTCTTAACCAGTTTCAGAGAACTCCGGTCTTCGTCGTCCAGGTTGTTAAGGGATATTCTGTATCAATTGTGAATCATCTGAGAACTCTTCTAAATGCACGTTTTGATTAAAATTCTTAGATTGTATTTTTCAGACTTCTTAACTTCATATTCTTTTCCAAGTTTAGAATCTAGGGCATTCTTCAATTTGGTTAAATCTGTTGAATCTTTACAGTAAATTACTGCTCCGTTTTTAGTTTTTTTGCTCCATCTATCCGTACACTCAAATCAGTAAAATTTATGGTTTGTTTTGAATTTCTTAGTTCATCTTGATTTTCTGAGATCTTGTGAGGTTTAATTAAATAAACAGATTTATGACCCATATTTGGTTTTCTAAGAGTATGGTGCAGTGGATAATTCATTTTGTGAGGTTGTTGTTCCTACTTCTGGTCCATCTATTTTTTTACTGAACTGTTCTTTAGGAAATTTTTCTATATTTTCGATTCTTTGGTTTATTTTGCTTAGTGAGGTGATAATAGTATCTTTGTCGACAATACTACTAATAATTAATTCATAATGCTCCTGCAGATGTCTATTTTCATTTACGAGCTGGTTAATGTACCTTTCTTTGTCTAATATGAGTTTTTTGATTCTAGCATTTCATTCAAGTGGTATATCTTTTGCTTGAGTATCTTTATATCATTTTCATCTTGTGAACAGTCCCTCTCATCAATGTCGTGTTTCTTTATTTGGCTATCTCCTTCATCTTTACTTTTTTTCTTTTTGCTCATCTTGATGAAGCACTCAGTATATTATTATGATGTGAATATGACCTAATATAATTTATTGACAGGATCAGTGACTTTCGTGACACGATTTTTGGGATTTCAATTATGGTCGAAAACGGTGAGTTCCTTTACCGCAGAGCTACTAATATTTGTGTAGGTACTCACTGCGTTAGTAATTTACTTGAGGTGTCTTCTGGTCAAGTTAGGTGGGACATTCCTTCGATAATAAGTGTAATGTCGGGAGTGAATTTCTAGTTAGTAATGTAGTGACAACTTTCTATGCTTCAATGATCAATCTCTAATTGTCATTATTAGTGTAAGGTCAGTATTAATAGTGCAAGACAGTTGCTTCTGCCAGGAGTGATGACCATTGATTTGCTTGAAGATGCTGCCATTTGCGACGGAAAGATTACCATTTCTGATAAAAAAATGGTGCACATGAAGAAGGCTTATTCATATATGGATGAACATGAAGATGCCCAGTACTTTGGACACAAATTTTGTGTTGTGAGTGGCCGACCTTTGCAAAAAAGTGATTTAATCAATCCTTAAGTTCATAGTTACTTATGAAGTAATATGTGTAGTTTGATCTTGTGAACGGTTCGTTCTATTGAAAGAAAATCAGAAATATTTTCAGTTACAGTTTGTTTAAACTTATAACCTTTTGATTTTGATTTTCTCCTAATTAATGATAACAGTATGGACTCCCTGGCCTTTAATGATTTTCTTTTGTTAAATTTCAAAATTTATTGAGTTCGAAATGGCCTAATCCTGAATAGTTTCAGACATAATATAGTGTGACAAATAAATGTTAGGACTGGCGTCATATCTCAGCCACGAGTGTCGCCATCTGTTAAATTCAGTTGCGTTGCAAATGTACACTGTTCTTCTTTCCAACGAACTTTAGTTAATGAATGTCGAATGACAAATGACTAAGTTGTGACTGTGCTTCCTAATCTAGTTTTGTAATGGATGTTGAAATTTCATCATGGAACAAAGAGATGTCATTAGATTCAATGCAAAGCTTGATAAAAGTGCAGCAGAAGCATCCCGGTTGATGCAGCAAGTATATGGCGACACTTCTTTAAGTCGATCAATTGTTTTCGTGTGGCACAAACGATTTTAAATCGTAGAGATTGGCTAGAAGATGACGGAGGTACGGAAAGTCCAATTTCAATTCGAAAACCAGAAATGATTGAAAAATAACGCGATTTTGTTGCAAATGCTTCACTGAAAATGATGGAAAAGGCGCAGAACATCAACCGAGAGACGATTCGGACCATTCTTCATGAGGATTTGCACAATACAGTCTGTGTTAAATTTGTTCCACACAGTTTGGTGGACGCACAAAAAACAATGAGACCTGCCGATTCCAGAGAATGATCCAAACTTTCTGAAATCGATTGTTACCGGTGATGAAACATGATGCTTTCAGTACGACCACATAACCAGAAAAACGCTAAAAGTGACTTCAAAAATCAAGACAATTTTAGTCACCTTCATCGATAGTGAAGGAATTATCTACAAGAAATTTGTTCCATCTGATCAAACATTTACTGGCAACTATTATCTCCAAGCTTGAAAGCGTTTGATGGCTAGAATCTGTCGCATCTGTCCCGAATATCAAGATCTAGACAGCTGGTCGGTGTTGCACGATCACGCGCCATCTTACAATTCTCTAACTGTTCGACAATTTTTGGCCAGAAATAGAGTTTGTGTGCCTCATCATCCGCCATATTTTATTATTTTATTTTATTATTTTATTTATTGCCTAAACTGGAACGAAAGCTGAAAGGATGCATTTTTGAAGACATTCCGACGATCCCAACAGTTCCTAGAGGTAGTACCACAAAATTAGTTGGATCAGGCATTTGAATCACTTGTAAATCGATGTAACAAGTGTACTAAAGCAAGGGGAGATAATATTGAATAAATAAAAGGATAAGTAAGAAAATATGTCGTTTGTAACTCATTTTATAGTCCCAGTCTCAAATATTGATTGACCCTTTGTATACATTTCTTTCTTAGCGACTCAGTATTGTGTTGAAATCTTTTGGACACTAATGTTATAATATTTTATTTACATCGAAATTTCCTCATGAAATATCGTTGGTCCCTCGTTAAAGCTCCTAGCGTTCGCCTATAGGCAACTAGCGCACTTCTACTTTGACATTGATTGACAGACAACTGAGTACCTGCCATTTTTCTTGTTGAAGTTTTGGTTAAGGTGTTTTGGTGCTTCGCTTAGTTTCCAGATTTTGGGATATGGGTCCCCAATCACCGGTCTATGGAGTAGCGTCCTTTTTTTCTACCTACCTTACGTTTAGCTGTTAGTTTTGGTTGTTGTTTGAGTGCTACTGTCTCCATCTATATGGGATTTTAACCTCTTCAGCGGTAAGTTCTTTTTATGTCTTGAAGCTGTTTTGTAGCCGATTTCGATGAGGGACCACCACTTTCTATTAAAAAAACTCTGATCTGAGCAGATAAAATGTATTAATTAACTCTCTTATAGATCTTTACATATTGATTATTGTTGACTGAAATTCTCCGAGTGTTTGTTTTGCATCCAAATCCTACTGAAGCACTGCGTGTCTCTATCTAGCAATTCACTCACATTTTTTGGTGTATCCAAAGGTGGCCCGAGCCGAGGGCGACTTGGTTATCAAGAGAAAGCCTCACATCCGACAGTACATCTAGATTCTGCGGTGTAGAAGGAAAATCGACAATAATAGCCAGTGAAGGAGGCACTCGTACGACAAAAAAAGTTAGGTTGGGACGGATCTACTTCCAAGAGGGCTGTTATGGAGATCGTTATTTCCTTCGTTCTCGATTATAGGGGTGTGACTTTTCCAAGAGGGCAGGTAAAATACAATGGATGTAGTCGTTTTTTCAAATGCGGAAGATGGTGGGATAACTGGGATCTTCATTTGTAACCTTTGGTTGATGTGGTATCAAGTGAAGGTTGACATATAAATAGGATGTTCAAACGTCTTATCCTATCAACGATGCACACTATGCGCGGTTATTTCAAAAGCTCCGTTATAAGATGTCGGCGAAATATGGTGAAATAAAATATGTAATACGTGATGGGATTTATTGATAGCGGGGTGCAGCGCAAGATTCAAGATAACATGGTAGAGAAAATGTAACAATCTTAGATCGGAATCTCTCGACAAAAGCATGAAATTATATAACAATAATGATAATATTAATAATAGAAGAGATAATAATAAATCCAGAAAGTAGTCCTTAGCACCTCGCACATTTTCGGCAGTGTTAAGTCGCGTTGACCACAAGCAGATTTCTGGACTACACCGAAGACGGGTTCACCGTCTTCGTGACAAATCTAGAATAATAATAATAATAATTACAAAATTATAGCAGACTGATTGCCCAAGTTTGGCATTTGCTTCTATTACACTTAGGGGAGAGTGGTACACAATGACACAATTTCTGAAGAATCCACGGACAAACCTTGATGACTTGTTTTTTAAAAAAATCATTCCGTGTGTCTTTTACCTTACTCAATTGCAAATAAGGTCCAATATGTAATAATAAGAAAATTAAAGAAACTAAAGGAAACAATTAAAAATTTCTTTGGGCTGCATTTGTATCAATGTGTACCACCATTGGTACAGTTTGAAACATATAGTAGTACACAATAAAACACGTTGGAAATTATTACAAATCTGTCAGAATCAAACAATATTTTTTTTTTGTAGGTTATCGTATAATTATATTGTTAAATTCTAACCCAAATCTATAATAAGAAGAAAGTCTTTTGTTGCTGGTTTTCATGGGTTCTTGTAATAACATAACAAAATCGGATTTCAACCCCATATGAATATCAGGAATATCGGGAAAATAAAATGGATTTAAAACTTTGCCGCTCCTTCTTAGATATGAAACTCTGAATTCTTCTGAGTTTACAACATCTAAAATTTTGGCAACATAATGAATATTATTTTCAAATTTCACCAAGACGAAAGAATCTTTCAAAGTATAAGTGCTTTCAGTAATTTCATAAGATTCCAAGTTTTCTTTCTGTTCCTGTATCATGCTATATTTAAGGTCTTCTAATGATAATTCCTCGTCGGAAGAGTCCTACAACTCCAAACTATTATCTTCTGATTCTGAATCTGTTTCATTTAAGATCTTTTCCTTTATTTTTCTTTTCTTTGTTTAATCATTTCTGTTTAAACTCGCTGATATATGTCTTTTTACCTTCTCAACTGCAGTCGTGTTTGGGGTTTTTCTTTCTTCTGTTTTATAAGGAAGATTTCTCATTTCTGGTATGCTAGTTAAAATAATGCTCTTCTCTGTTTTTCGTTTCCTATTTAAATTCTTTCTAGGTGCACCTTTTGGAAATCCTCGCAGCTCAAATGGAGTAACAAAATGACCTTTCAATACAGATAAGTTTTTCTTATTCATAGTTAATTCAGTTTCTGTTTGTTTGTTACTATATAAACCAACAGATTCAGTTTCAAAAATTGAGTTTTCCTCTTCCTCATCTAATTTGCGATCCAAAGTGTGAATTGTACCAGATGAACTAGCGCTGGACGTAAAGGTAACATTTGAACGTGAAGGGTTGTCTTGACTGTCAGGTGAAGCTTCGTTTCCACGGGTGCCATCTCGTATTTCAACTATTGCTTTTCTTGTGCCCAGAATAACAGACGACGATATAAAATCACCATCAGTAAAACAATTTTTACTAAAAGGATAGATGCCTGTACCTCTGAACCCATTCATTATATTTTCTGGAGACATAGATTTGTAGTGGGCAATATCAACACATTCCAGCCATCTTGCTACAGGTCTTAAGATAATCGCACAATATGGTATCTTGCTCTGGATTAAATATTCATCTTACAGCACAATTTGGCTCCATTTTAGAATCGGGATTGTTCCTTTCTTTTAACACATATCGCCTCAGCGTTGAGAAGTTGATGTTGAACATATCTGCAGCAATGCGAAGTGAAAATCCATTATTTTTAACTTCTTGGACTGCTGCCGCCATTTGTTGACTTGTAAATTTAGCTCTTGATCGTTCTTTCTTCTTCCTCACCATTATAAAACAGTAAAAAATAAGCTGGTATAGAATGACACTCTTAGATACACAATGAAACAGCGAGATAGGTGTGTCATTGTGTACCACCAACATGTGTCATTCTTAAATTCGTTATAAATGGCTAACCTGAGTAGCATTGGTTTCAATTATTTATAGGTTAGGATAAACATAAAAGTAGTAATTATATTCATATTAAATAAAAACAAAAACTATTAAAATGTTAGCAACATGCCTTTTTAAAGTCACTCACGATTTTAAAGTTTAAGCACCAAAAACAAGAAAATTTTCGACACGTCTTAATGCGTCGAAAGTTTCATTGTGTACCATGTGTCATTGTGTACCACTCTCCCCTAACTACAGGGTGGGGCAAAAGTCGCGAAGGGATTTGAAAAATTAATAACTTTTTTAAATTTAAATTTTAATTTTTTTCCCTAACACAAAACTAAAATGCAATGTTTGGAGTTTGTTTACAATTTAAGTGTGAAAGATTACATCACGCAAATGACCGCCATTTTCAGCCTCGCAAAGTGCAGCTCTTGCAAGAGCATTTTCCATTACCCGAGTCAGAATATCTGGCCCCAAAGCACTTACTTCTGCTCGAATATTATCTTTTAGTTGCTGCAGGGTTGTGGGTTTATTAATATACACTTTTCCTTTCAGATATCCCCAAAGGAAATAATCAGGGGCTGTTAAGTCCGGCGAGCGGGCGGGCCAATTGAATCCTGAATTTCTCGAAATTAAACGTTCGCCAAAAATCTGCCTTAGAAGGTGCATAGTGGCTCGAGCAGTATGCGCAGTGGCTCCATCTTGTTGGAAAGTCATCGTTTGATTGTCAGCAAGAGCTGGTCTTAAGAAATTTTGAATCATATCACGATATCGGTCGCCATCTACAGATACAGCATTCCCATCGTGGTCTTCGAAGAAGAATGGTCCAATAATTCGTTGAGACGTAACTGCGCACCATACTGTACATTTAAGCGGATGTAATTGCCTTTGATGAACCACCCTTGGGTTCTCGGTACCCCATATTCTGCAGTTCTGCTTATTTACGAAGCCATTCAAATGAAAATGGGCTTCATCGCTCATGATCAGAGAATGAATAAATTCATTATCTTCTCGAGCCATTCTTTGCAAGCGAACTGCATAAGTTAGTCGTTCTTGAAAATCTGCTGGTTTTAGTTCTTGCACTAGCTGCACTTTATATGGAAACAGATGTAAATTTCCTCTTAATATTCTGCGTAAAGACCTTTGAGACATCTGCAGCTCAGCAGAACGTCTTCGGGTTGAGGTTTCCGGATTCTCCTGAACACTCTCCTGAACGCGTTGAATGTTCCCTTCATTTCTTGCGCAACGTGGCCTTCCGCTTCGTGGGAGATCCATAACTGTGCCTTGTTGCTGAAATCGTGCCACTAAGCGTCGAATCATTGATTCAGAGGGCGAATTCCGCAAATTGAAATGACGACGATATGCTCGTTGAGTTTGAATTATTGAATGGTGATATTCAAAATAAAATTCTATAAGTTTGGTTCGTTGATTGAGGTTGTAACGCTCCATAATTAATCTCCAGGATTTATTTTACACGGTCCTGAAAAAAAAAATGAAAACAAAATAAACTTAAAAAAGTTATTAATTTTTCAAATCCCTTCGTGACTTTTGCCCCACCCTGTAGTTAGTCCGCGACATGTGTTAAGTTGTGCGTTAGTAACACAGATATTTCTAAAATAAAAAAAGCACAGACCAACAGTTGCTAAGAAAAGATACAGAGGTGCAATGATATATATGAAAAAAATTAAACAAGAAACGCTAAGTTCACTTCACTGACAAAAACGATATTGGAATTACATAATATATAAATCATATGACAGACTGCAATAGTTACACAATATTTTCGGAAGTATCCGGCGAAATCTACAGAGACATATTTGAAAAGAAGAATGCGAAAATACTTCTGGGGTGGCAGAGCTTGCCTGTCTACGATAATAGTGAAATGTTTGAAATTCGGACATTCAGCAAGAAAATGTAGGAGCGTTTCAGCCTGTCCATAATGTGGAGATGGACATGACACTGTGACTTGTAAATTGAATGTTTCTAAATGTATCAATTGTATAACTTGTATCAGTAAGTATAAGACAACTCATGATGTAAACCATTGTAAACATTGTCCCACTTACAAATAGTTTCAAGACCAACATTTTACAAAAATAACGTTTTGAACCTTTTACATTTTAAACATAAAACTTTTTTATTTATATAATGAGTATTAGAGATACGAGCCCCTTCAAACTTCAGTTGGCCCACTTAAAGATTTGTACCAAAATATGTCTTTATAAACTAAACATGACGAAACTATTTACTTCTAAAACAATTTATTTTCTCAAAAACATTTTAGATACACTCTAGTCGTAAAAAATACATATTTGAAATCACTTAGACCTATAACTAATAGAACATCTGAACAAATAAACAATGTGCGAATAAATGCGCGAGGTTAACAAAGCAACAATTGAGAGATTACCATTGGGTAACATCACCTTTATTTTTTATTACGGCTGAAATTCTTTGGGCATAGTGTTAACCAAGTTTTGGCAAAAATTTGGTGTAAAACAATTCCATATTTCTTGAAGCTTTTGTCTCAGTTCGGTGATTGTACGAGCAGGATGTTGTCGTAGAACCTTTTTCATCTCGTGCCACAAAGTTTCAATAGGTGACAGATCTGGTCTGCTAGAAACCCATTTCAAAAGCGGTACATTATTTTCTTCCATCCATTTTATAGCCTTTTTTGAGGTATGGCACGCTGCACCATCTTGCTGAAACACAAAATCTTGGCCGGATGTCAAATATTCTTCCACCACTGGTAAAAGCGATTCTTCTAAAATTGCCAAATATTTGTTTGTATCCACATTTTCATCAATAAAATGAATTTTTCCTACTCCTTTTGATGACATACTGCCCCAGACCAGAATGGATACTGAAAATTCCACTTTTCTCTTCAGACAGTCAACATGGAATGCTTCATTTTTTTTGCGTATAATTCTACTGCGACTGTCACCAACACAATCGTCGAATCGGGCCTCATCACTATATTGTATTACACACCATTGTTGAAGTGCACTTAATTGTAAATAATTGGCGCGCCTATTTTTCACGATTATTCTTCTTAATGATCTTCGGTCGGCATTTGTGATATTAGCTTTTTTCACATATCGTGGCTTAATATTAACTGAACCAGTTACGTTATATCTTCTAACAATATTTCTCACACTGTACCGCGATAAATCTAACAAAGTTGCAATTTCTGAGTGTGATTTACAAGAATTAAAAAATTTAATTATTAAACTATTTTAAACGTATTCTGATAGCTGTGATTAATAAAAACAATTGTCATGGCTTTTATTTTTCACAGCCACCTATGCGTTATAGACTTATTTTGCATTGAAATGAAAATAGGTTGATATGCTGTAATTGCAGCATGTGTTATTTTTATGCTGCAGATTTGATTAGGGAGTGATGAAGTTGGTGTTTTCTACTATATATTATCAAAATATTCATTATTAATATTTTCAACCTATAACACACTGCTACATTTTTATTATTTGTGTTTCATAAGAAAAAAACTAAGATTTCAATAGAAATAGGAAAGGGGCTCGTATAACCTATACACCTTTTGAATCGACGGTCCTGGACAGTGCTCTGGAATATAATTTTTCAGATGGAAATAATTTCAGTATCTTTCACCAAAACATAAGGACTCTAAATAAGAATTTTGATGAGCTAAACGTATATTTGCGTTCTTGTAAGGAAAAATTTGATATTATTAGTTTGACTGAGACTTGGATTATTCATGATATGCATTATTTTGAATTAGATGGTTATGACTTATTTTATAACAACGCAGCCTTCAACCGAAATGATGGAGTCGTTGTCTATATAAAGGAAAGTTTGCAAACTAAATCAGAAATCATCACTGTAGTAGTGACAAAGGTAAATATACTTGGAATCGTTATCACAATGATAACAACATACAGACCACCTTATGTGACCTCAATATAAATATCTTAGATGGCAACAGCTTATCTGTACATGAGTACCTAAATATGCTTTTGAATTTAATTTTATTTCGCTTGTAAATGCTCCAACTAGAGTCTTCAGAGAATTCAATACCTGCATTGACCACATTTTTCATAAAAGTAGATTAGAAGAAATTGACAAATACGCTGCCTTCGTAGTAAAATCAACTATATTCGATCATTATGGTACCATACTAAGACTACCCTTAATCAAAAAAGTTTTGTCAATAGCCAACCTAAAAAACTAAAAGTAGATCTCGATACTGAGCCCTGGGATGACATAGGTATATAGGACAAGTGATGTACATGAAGCATCTATACATCTCACCAACATTATTAAAAAATATATCTTAGAGAATACTAACAAAGTGAAGATAAAGCGCAACGAAATAAATAAAAAAATTAAAGGTACATATTATTTCGGACAAATGTTACGCAAGAAGCAAAACAAGATTATTTAAACCACAAAAATGAACTTTCCAGTTTAATAACTGCTACAAAATAAAAATATTATACGGAGATACTACCAAAAGTAAATCCAATTCTAAAACTGTATGGAATACCATCAGCCAAATCTGTAACTCAAACAAGCCTATAACAAGTATTGAACAAAT